CTCAGGACCTGAGCTCTGCTTCCCCTGGCACTGCCCTGAGAAGCAGGTGACCCAAGCTGAATTGCAGGAGAATAAGGAGCAGGCAGGTGCATTCTATTCACTCCTCCCAAACCCCGGATGTTCTGAGGCCCTGCGGTTGCATTTAGATTGGCCATGACACCCGCACCACTGAGGCCAGCTCACAAATGCACCATTTTTTGTCTACTTTTCAGTCTTCAAAGCCTTTTCCCTTACTTTTGTGGTGAGGCCCACGGTTCCTCTATTGCTGCTTGACAAAGTTCCAGCAATGACAGGCCTCGGGTTGAAAACATCACTCCGGCTTTTATTTTTGCTTGCACTTTTGATTGGCTTAACTGTAATTACGGGAAATTTGGTTTTAGTGAGGAGACCTGTACAAGCTGCTTCTGAGAAATATGAGTCAGTCATGTCAGTCATTGAACCCCTAAATGTGATCCCTGATCCGGGGGCTTTCTTTGAAGGGGTTTCCAGTTTTTCAGTATTTGAGGGGTTCACTCTGACAAAAGCCCCCCAGCTTTCTTCCAAGTGTCCAGTTACTTATAGGGATCCCATAAAGGTGCTCAAAGATTTGTGGTGGAGTGATCTCATGGCCACTAGGCAACTCCCCCTTTTCCTCCACCGGGGCTTACATAGATGGAGTTAGAATGGTGTGGAAAGATGAAAAAAGAGTAAGATTAAAATTTACCCTTTGTAGAAAGAATGAAATGTTCAGGAACACAGTGATGTCTACGCACTAAAGAACAAGTAAATACTCTTGTCAGGCAGCTGAGTGGTTATTATAAAAAGGCTTACTTACGGGCAAAATACTTGCTTTCTGACTATATAGAATAAAAGTTTAACCAAGAAGTTGAGTAATCACAATAGTTCTTTATTAAAACCTAGAGACCTGCTAACAGTTGACCACAATCTTTCCATTGTTGCCAAAATAGACATATGAACTTTGAAAAATAGAGGCAAGCTTGGATTATTCTTTTAATTTCACTTTCATTTACGCCTTTACTAGGAAATTGCTTGATTAATAATAATAGCTGAGGCGATAGACAAAATGTTCCCAGAAAGAACTATAATTAAATACATATGTGCTGTAGTTTATTGGAAAATTGATCTTGAAAGTTTTTATCTAGAAATTGTAAACATATGCCAATTTCCGTATGCAGCCTCTACTATGATATAAATAAAAGTCCTCCAATGCTGGGAAGGCACAGCACCTCATCCCTACAGAGTGTGTCTCCTTCCTTCACAAGCGCCCACTCCAACCCTCCTCCTCAGGACCAGAACTCTCCCCGAGGCTGGACCCCGCACTCCTGCTGCTTGGGCTTGTTGGTTCTGATGGTCCTTTCTTGAGAACCTAGACTATGACACCCATTACAAGTCCTTTGTTTGCTATAGTAATTTCCCTGATGATTCACAAACCTTTACTGTTTTGCAGCCTTTAGGTACAAATTCCCTATGATGAATGTTATCATAATGTATGTACCAATAAATGTTTTGCTAAAAGAAGGGGGGGGAATTTGTCTCAATGCATATGAAACATGTATTTTATGAAATACCCAGAAATATTCGACTGAATGTTGTGTTCCTAAAAGTACCATATCCTTCACTTTTTAGCAAACAACAGCAACACACATGTTAATTTTTGATATAAATGATACAGCAGAAATTGCTATTAAAAATTCATTTAGGACACATTTGGATGGGAAGGGAGATCGTATATGACAAGGCTTTTTCCAATTACTCATACAAAAATCAACATAACTAAAAGAAGAAAAATGAGCAAAGAATATACTTAGATTATAGAAGGGGAAATATGGCATTTTTGCACATGGGGAAATGCTCAATTTTTCATGTAGTCAAAATGTAAATTCAGGCTGGTAATGTAACTTGGTGGTAAGGCTTGTGCTTAGCATGATCAAGACCTGGCCTCACATTTACAGTGATCCTCCTGCCTCAGCCTCCTGAGTGCTGGGATTACAGGTATGCACCATATTACCTGGCATAGGTTCCAACTTTTAACACCACAAAAAAACCAAAACCAAAAAAAAAAAAAAAAAAGACAAAACAAACAATGATGAGATAGCATTTTTACCTTATCAGTTTGGCAAAAATAAAGTCTTAAAAAGTTAAGGTATAAAGAAGTATTTCAGAAGTGTTAGAAATATGTGTACATAGCGGACAATTTTTTTTTTTTTTTTGGCACCAGGGATTGATCTCAGGTCCTTGCGCTTGCAAGGCAGGCCACCAAACCGCTGAGCTAAATCCCCAGTGAGGACAATTTAATAATACCAACTCAATTATAAACATATATCCTTATTGATTAAGCAGTTCCATGTGGATATTCATTCTATGAATATCCAGATAGATGTATGTAAATAATCACATATACAAGGTTATTCTGTACAATCCTGTAATACTCTGTAATATGCTAAATATCCTGTAATATCCTAAATATGTAATAAGACTGGCAAAAGAGAAGTTACATTTGTACGAGTATAAAAGAATAAGAAAGACGTTTCTGTATTAATATGAAACTAAGATTTAATTTAAAAAACAAAATATAGAATACAGCATTCAGTATATTATCATTTGTATAAACATATGTATGTCCTTTATGCATAGAATACCTGTAGAAAGATGTGCAAAAATATTAATATTGGTTGGAGGTAATAAAAGATGAAGGATGAACTTAGTTTTCACTGTATACCTTTCTGTACCACTGAATTTTGAAATATGTGATTTAACACTTATTCTTCAAAAAAGAAAAAAATTTTTAAAAGATTAAAGAAAGTATAAGCCTCCCACATAGAGCAATATTGTATTTTCTGACTCCCCCATTTAAAAAATGAAAACAGAGCTGGGGATTTAGCTCAGTGGTTCTGCTGCCTGCCTCATATGCACAAGGTCTTGAGCTCAATCCCAGATACCAAAAACAAAAAGCAAACAAACAAACAAACAAAAAACAATGAAAACATTTAAAAAGGCACTGTTCAACTGACTGACAATAAATTAAGAGACACCCCTCAACAATTAAAGCAACAATTAACTACAGATGAAACCATTGACTGCCCAAGTGTTACCAGGGTCTGGTGCTGTGCTCTTTGCAGGGATCCTTTCCAGGTTCTTGTTCTCAACAAAAATTGGACAAGAAACTCACAAAAGGTAATGAGGTTTTACATTTAAGGTATTAAAGGTAGGAAAAGAAGTACAGAGTGGGCATTGAAAGAACTTGCAGTGGCCACAAGGTTAGACGACCATTTCTGTATCCTGTCTGATATAGACCCTCCTATCAAAGATCTGCTTGATTTCTCCCCAAAAGAATTGAGGAGAGCATCTCTAATTGGTCCCAGGTGCAGGGCTTGAGCGCATGTGTCTTGTATCTCTGTGATTGACAGGTCACGCCAACTGCCCAGCCAGATGGCCATGCCCTAATGTGCCTCACAGTGCATCAGAAAATCTCAGCAGTGAAGAGCATTAGTTTTCAAGGCTCAAGGAAAGGGGTGCAGAAACAATTCTCCGTTACGTTTTTTATCTAAAATGGTTCTCAAAAGCCTCATGTGCTTGGAGGGTGATTAGATTACAGAGTGGTCCACCGGTAAGCTCATAACTATGTGCTGTTAGGATGTGGGGCCTGATGGGAGGAGGTGTCACTGGAGGCTGACCCGGAAGTGTTTCCTCTGAGCTTCTCCCTTCTTTCTGCTTCCTGGTTGTCACGAGGTAAGCAGCTTTCATCCACACCATGCCCTTCCACCATGCCATTTGTTTGAGCCTGCTGAACATGGACTGAAACTTCTGAAACTATGAGCCAAAATAAACCTCTCCTCCTTAACTTGTGGGTGTCTGATATTGTGTCTCAGTGACAAGAAAAGTGACTAAGACAATGCCTAAAGCCCAAGTTAGAAGGGAATTGGCACACAGTGCCTCAAAGCTGGGGCATTGTGTTAGCTTTAGGCAGGTGTGCAAAAATACTTGAGAGGATCAATTTAAAGGAGGAAAGATTTACTTTGGCCCATGGTTTTAGTTCATGGACACCTGCCTCTGTTGCTTTGGGCCTATGGTAGCAGAGGAAGGCTGTTCACCTCATGACAGAAGGGAGCACAGAGAAGGGGTTGGTCTCAATGTCCCTCTTGAGGACCTGACTTCCTCCACTAGGCCCCACCTCTTAAAGGTTCACCATATCCTGACAGTGACATCAGCTGGTGACCAAGCCTTTAACACATGGACCCTTAGGGGATTATTTCAGATCCAAATTGTGCAGGGTTTAAAGACAACACCCTTAGTGAAGGAATAATCTGGAGAAAATATCCACTCCATAAAGAGAGGTAGCAAGGAAACTTGCCAGCCATGTCCTTGATTCTGGGTAGAAGAGACAAAAGGGTCCTCTGAAAAGCCACAACTTTCCATTCATTTTATTAAATTAATATATTCTTGATAGAACAGATGCTTGAAAAATGGAATGGAGGACTGGGGATTTAGCTCCGTAGTTCCATCACCTGCCTCGCAAGCAAAAGGTACTGAATTTGATCCTGGGTACCAAAAAAAAAAAAAAGAAAAGAAAAGAAAAATGGAATGATGCAAGAACCACTGCTATCATGTCCTAGCTAGCATGAATAAGAAAAGAAGAAGAAAGATGGAAAGATTGGAAAGGAAGAAACCAAACTGACGGTCAATCAGCTGATAGTTTACATAAAAAACTCCAAAGAATCTATAGCCAAATTAACAAAATTCGTAAGAGATTTGATCAAAATTGCTGGAATAAATCTGCTGGATATAAAAACAATAATTACTTTATACTAGCACCAGTGAAAAAACATGCTACTTTTTCTTTTATAAAATGTCACATATGACAGACTATTAAGGTGTCTAGGAAGAAATCAACAAAAGATAGATAAGTTATTTATGGGGAAAATTGTGAAATAAAATTGCAAGGTATCATATTTGTTAGAAAAAAACTATTCTAACCAACTCCGGATTCTTGTGGTATAGCACAATGGGTGTTTTCTCCTGTTCTTCCAGCCCAACACTTCCCTGTAGGTATTCAGTTTGAAAAACTTCCACACAGTGATTGAGAGGTCCAGGTCCTTCCATCTTGTGCCTTCATCATTTTGTAAGATCGCAGAATCCTCTTCTCAACCCTGGGCATTTGTCTACACTTGGGGGAAGAGACAGAACGAGAAGGGTCACACCTGAGGGGCCGACTGGCCAGGAGTGAGGCACAGCACTTCTAGCTCTCTCCTGCAGCCACTGTTCAGAACTCACATTGGCCAAGCGTCACTTCCAGGGAAGCCGGGAAATGTGCTTCAGCTGTGAGCTGAAAAAAGGGAACAGGCTTGGTGAACTACTAGACAGTTTTCTGAGACAGATATGAGTTAAGACCTAAGTACATGTTTATTGACAGGAAGACTCAATTATTCCCAAGTTAAATTTTGGATCAGTGCCATGCCAATTGAAATTCCAGCAGATCTCTCAATGGAAATTGCACAGCTAATATAAAAATGTTTGTGAAAGAGGAAAAGGCCAAGATGGCTGAACTGTCTATCTTGGATGTTTCCTGTCAGGAAACATGACCTAGTATCAAGCTACGATAATTTAAATAGAGAGCTATGGGCCCAAGAAAAATATACCAAAAGACCAGAAATAAAAGCCCACAGTCAGAGTCCCTCATTTGAGTGACCCATATGTAAACCCTAGGTAATGTCAGAGCGGTAGGGACAAGACACACCTATTCAGTGAATGTGCGAGAAGCACTGGGTGTCTTGATATCTATAGTACCATTGTTCAGATCCTCTGCTGAGTGTGTGTGTGGGGGGGTGTGATGCTGGGAATGGAACCCAGGCAGGCCTCATGCATAGGTCAAGCGTTCCACCACTGAGCAACGGCCCTCAGCTCCATTGCTTTCTGGATAGACTGGAGAGGTTATTGTGAAAGATCAAAATGTGAATACTTTTAAAAGGTGGGGGAATATATTTAAGACCATGGGGGAGAGGATTTCTTTGTAAAATTCATTATTGTTTTAATTGTGCAAACATATGTGGTACAGGGTGATAATTTGGTACATGTATGCAATGTGCAGCAAGTTCAGGGTGGTTAGCATCTCCATCACCTTAAACATTTTTTTTTTTACTTAAAGAAACGTTCATCTACGTATAAAACATATTTTGGTAATATCCAGCCCCGCTACTACTCTCCGACACCCCCTTCATCCCTTCCTCTCGTCTAATAATAGTATCTGTCTATGTCCATGTCATCTTTGTTTTGGGGAAAAGGATTTCCTAAATAAAAAGGATTTCCACAAAAATATCCTACAAAAAGAAATGCCTGGTAAATTAAACCACAGTAAAACTAGGAAGTTAAATTCACCTAAAGAAGCCATAAAGAAAAAAAAACGATAAGCCACAGCCTAAGAGAAAATGTTCACAATGCCTATAACTCACCAAAAACTTGTATCCAAAAAATATAAATAATTGTTACAAATCAAGAGAAAGAAAATAGGCCTGTGGCAAAATGGATAAAAAGATAAACAATTTTTTGCTAAAAATCAAATGACATATTACACAATACTTAGACCCATTTGTAATTGTGAAATGAAAATATACACTATAATACATATAAAAATTACAACAAAATGATGTTTTGCACTCACCAGATGGCAAAATTGTAAAATCCAAAGAACTAGGAAGCAACAGAAACCCTTTTATATGCACAGTTTTTTCTATAATATTGTAGTAAGTTGAAAATGTGTTTTTTAATTAAATGGAGTACTACTCAGCCATAAAGAATGAGAAACTAGAGACATTTATAGCTAAATGGACACACATTGAGGCGATGCTCTTAAGTGAAATAAATAAAACACACATGTGTAAATATCAAGTAGTTTCTTTAGTGTGAGAAACTGCAAGTATAAAAAAGGACTAAAAGGTATAATAGAGAATGTGAAATAGGACGAAAAGGTGCAAAGGGGAAGGGGAAGTGGGAGGGGAAATGAAAGAAGAGAATGGAATTAATGTGAGAAAAAGAAAAAATGGAAACAAAGTCTGTAGATAGGGAGGGGAGGAGGGGTTGAAGGAAGAGCAGGAGAATGGGGAAAAAATAAGAACCAAGGCGGATCATGTAAAGGTGCAAATTTCCAGTGATGAATGTCATTACCTTAAATGTACCAATGATGAATGTATACCTTAAATGTACCAATAAAATTAATGTTTTTAAAAAGATTGTAATAAGTTGTAAACTTATGAGGAAATCAGGGAATGATAAATACCCAATTCGGGATAGTAGTCACCTAAAGAGAGGTACACAAAGGGAGGGACACAAAGGCAGGTTTCCCAGGCCCAACATATAGGTGAATGTTGATTACACAGATGTTTGTTTCAGTGTATTTTATTATTTTGTATACCTTGTATGCTTTGCATATATTCTACTGTATACACGCGTATCTCTGTTCTATCATGTGGAAATATCCCATAATATTAAAATTAGGCTTCTAAAAAGTTTTTAAGGACTTGGAAAGCCTTGCAGTAAGGAAACAAAAACCCAAATCATCCCAAAAGAATGTGGGTGAGTATAAAGAGCCATGAGACCCTACTGCCCTCCGGAGGAGGAGGGACTTTAAATTGGGTCTTAAAGAATGAGTAAGAGGGCCAGGGATGTGGTTCAGTGTCTCTGTGCCTGCCTGGCAAGTACAAGGTCTTGAGTTCAATCCCCCTATACCGCAAAAAAAAAAAAAAAAAAAAAAAAAAAAAAAGAGTAAGAGTTTTCCAGGGAAAGAAACATTCTACATCAGCAGGACTACATTTACAAATCTTGGAGGCACAGGAGCGCCACAAGGAGCCACAGGCCCTGTAACTAAGTTCTCACAGATGTATCCACGCCATAAATTTATTTCATTTACTTTTTGTGGTGCTGGTGATTGAACCTAGGACTTCTCGCACACTAGCCAAGCGTTCTACCACTGAACTAAGTTCCCAGCCCCACATTTTAACTTGCTGTTAGGCTGAAGATAAAATGCACCCGTCCCCACAAACTGCCCTACCAGTATGAGCACATATAAGCTGAAAATTGAATCTGAGAAGTAAAGCAGATTGTGGTATAAGCAAAAAACACTCAAGTAACCATGACCAGAGCAGATTCACCTACTTCTAAGGTGGCAAGGTAGCCCAGCTGGCTGGACTGCAGGCCCAGGCAGCATGAACCCTTCCTGCAAAGCAAGCAGAGTAAGCCTGGGAAGGCAGTTATAAAGCCCAAGAAAAATGTTGTGGTTATTATGAGTAAACACACACATGGCTTTTCTTTCTTTCTTTACAGGGCTTCACTACATAATTCAGGCTGTCCTTAAACTCACTATGTAGCCCAGGCTGGCCTTGAACTTGCAGTGATCTTTCTGCCTCAGCTCCCCCAGTGCTGGGATTATAGTATGCGCACCACCACGCCTGGCAACACGCACATGGTTTTGAGGGAAAAGTAAATTTTGGTTTTTTTTTGTCTTGCTTTTTGGTACTAGAGATCGAACTCAGGATCTTGCACTTGTGAGGCAGGCGTGGTGCCACTGAGGGAAATACCCAGCCCCTGGGAAAAATTAATTTTGAATTTTGAGATCTGTCTGAAATTTAGATACTTTATATCTAAACACATTACAATTACAAAAAAAGGATTCAATTTTCTTTCCCCTCAAACTTTAGCCAGCCTCATAAGTTATCAAAATGATTAATTGGAACTGAGCTTTTCCTCCACAGCTTCCCTTAATCTCTGATGAAAAAATTAAAGGAGGGTTAGGTGGGTGAGCGTGGATACATTTTCAGAAGTTTGGTGATGTAAGGAAATGAACTGAGCTAAATCTCAGGCTGACCAGTTTTCTTTTAAAATACACTGTAGGTTTGGTTGACCCAGAAAGGCAGGCAGAATCATGGGAATTTAAACTGACATTGTTTTAACTTTCAGCCGTTTTGGTCTCTCAGCAAGAATCAGGCAAAGAACTGCTTTGGAGTCTTCTGATCTCTAAAGCGACAACCGACGACTGGAGCGTACACGGTGGCAGGGCCTGCACTCAGTGTGCACAGGCGTGAGATTCTGGGTTCAGTTCCCCAGGACCGAAAGAAAAGAAACGTAAAAACTGTGCTAAAAATGTGAGGAATCACTCCTTGGGGTGTACGGTGCCGTCACTGTTTTGTTTTCATTTTTGAAGTCATGCCCATTTTGGAATCTTTTCTATTGCCTTCACTTCTGTTGTTGCTAGATATTTTGTTAAATCCAAGGAAGGGGTGGCAACTGAAAATGTGGGTTTGGAGCCAGGGAGATGAGGTTGGAAGCTGGATTCTACTCCTTGTAGAATAAATTCAAATAAATGTACAATTTCTAAACCCCATAGTTTCCACCTCTTTGTATTTATGAATAACACCACATCAAATGTCTTCGTATGTGAAGGCATCCTACCATTCTCAGGTGCACAGATCACATTAAACCCCTCCTTCTTCTGTGTTTGTGTACCTGTTGGAAGTGAATACTCATGGGTTACCAAGGCCCATGACCATAGCTGCAACCCATAACTTCCATCATTACTCAGCCCTGCGCTTGACAATAACCGCAACTCCCTGTGCCTCTCAAGCATTGTCCCTGATGGGTGACCACACTCCTTTTCACCCAACTCCCTCCTTTTCTGCCTGTGACCCTACAAAAGACCTTCATAGCCTCTATAAGAGTAGCCAGTCTGGTCTATAGTGCCAGAGCGTAGCTTCTCAGGTTTGTTCCGAAATAAACCTGTCCTGTGAACTCATACCTGTTTCTTTTCCTTCTCCCTAACAATATGAAAACCTTGGTTCCCCGTAGCAGACAGACACTATTAGCTATTCACCAAAGGCCACAACCTGCTTACTTCAGAGTACAGTTCCAGTGTTATTCAGGCAGCCATGTGCTGCAGAGCCATGAGGACCTGAGGCCACCAAGGCGGTCTCACTTTCTTTGTCAGGATGTCTGGGCCGCACATGTGTGTCCATTTAAGCAAGGAGATGGGGAGAGGGGAAGTGCTCTAGAGGTTTCTGGGAGAAGGGCCCTCCTTTCCTGGCTGGTCATTGTCACTTGGGGACAGGACGCGGCTGCTGATGCCACCATGAGGAGAGACACTTCCAAGAGGGGATATCGGGACAGGACAAGGAAAAACCAGGCCCAATATGTGTGAAGTGATAAACCCGAACCAGTGCCACACACCCCAAGTTAGAATAGCATAAGAGGGAGCGCGGGGAAGACCAGCTCGCCCCACTCGGACGCCCGAGTCAGCCGACACTGCCTGAGGAGACATCGGACGCCTGCCCGGAGTGGACCCCGAATCAGCGCGGAGGCAACCGGATCGAGCACCGCAATCACCAGGGAAGGAGAAACAAAGTCGCGCTCCTGGGACTTGTGCAGGTACAGGGAGTGGCAACTGGCGGGCATGAATTAACATGTTTGACGTGTGACATATATAAAAAAAATATATAAAAATCCAGTTGGCAACTACTACCGTCTCGGCCTCCAGTTAGCGCCCACGCCTGCTCGCGACACGCCCTCGGCCCTGCGTGCCTCCCGGGACCGCCCCTCACTGCCGTCTCCATGGCGCCCGCCGACGCGGGAAGCGCCGGGCCTGGGACTGTGCGTCCGTGTTAAAAGCTTCCCACTCCCTCCCGAGGCCATCTCTCCTCCTTTCCGGGGGACGCGCCGGGACGGTGCACCGCAGCTGGCGTTCCCTGGTCTGCAGGTGGGTACCTGGGATTTCCTCGGAAGTGTATTAAAGTCACTGGATGCCCCGGCAACCTCGGAGATAGTAGAGCGTGGCCCTTCCCTGCCTCCTTTTCTGGTCCTCTGAGACCCTGGGGCGGAAACCAGCAGCTGACCAAGTTGGGCAAGCAGGGGATTCAGAGCCAGGCTTCTCTCCGTGGGATAGAGCACAGGGCCTGCCCGTCCCTGCTCACACTCTCAGCCTCCGCTCCTACCTTCCAGTCTCCAGGACACTGGGGAGGAACGGGAAGCCACCTTTGGATGAGATGAGTAGAGCCCTCCTGCCAGGGTGAGGTACTACACCTTTACCTTCTGTAACATTCACTTGAGATCAACCCGTCGGTGCTGGCTTAAGCCACCTGTGTTTGCTAAACCTGAACGTAGCATTCCTAAAAGCTTGTGATGATATATTACATTGTCTTCACAGAGCCGAATTTATGTGTGTAGTTTGTGCAGTTGTAAATACTTAGAGAAGGTTGATGGAAGATGCTTCTTCGCGCAAGCTGCAATGGGTATATTTGTATTTGTCAAAGCCAGGTTCCTTTTGGTGTTTCCTTTTTTCTCAACAACCCTGTCTCTTACCAGTTTCTTTGGGATTATCTACCAGGAATAGATCCCCCCAAAGGACCCGTTTTGATGTAAGATAATAAACATTTTGGAGAGTCTCTGGCTGGAAACTCCTGTTTGGGAAAACTCCAATAATTCCCAGTAGCAACAGGATGCTAATAATACGTGGCCTAATTTAGTTGGGCTGGAGTAACAGTATCATAGACTGGCTAGTGTAAAATTAGGCTTCACGGGCTTCTTCTCAGGGTTTGGGGGGAGTGTGAACAGAGAAGCATCGTTCCTAATTTTACAGATAAAGGAAGTGGGATTGGAGAAGTGAGGTTGATTGTCCACAGTCAATCCTACTAGCAATCAGTGCACCCAGGATTCAAAGCGCTTCCTTCTGAACCAAAGCCCAGATGACTCTCTCTCTCCAACATGCACATCCACCCATGATGCCGCTCCACTATCACCAGTCGCCAAATAATGAGTCACCTGGGATGTTCACCCAAAGCGGCCTGTGGGCTGAGGGTGTAGTTCAGTGATAGAGCCATGTTTGAACACTGGGTTCCATTCCAGCACTGGAAAAAAGAAAAAGCCTTAGGATTCAGGAGACCTAGTTCTGTTCTTAGCTGGGACTTAGTCCTTTCTGATTGTGGGCCTCACTAAATCAGACACACAAGCTTATCACAGGAGTTTCTTTTACATGAGAAACCCAAAGTATAATACATTAAAGAGCAAGGGCCGAGGATTTAGCTCAGTGGTTCTGCCACCTGCCTTGCAAGTGCAATGACCTGAGTTCAATCTCCAGTACCAAAAAGAAGCAAAATAAAAGACACATAATAGGAAATAGGCAGATCTTTTGCAAAAGGCAAGAGAACCAAGAGATGGAGGAAGGGAAGGGAATGAAGAAGCAATTCAAATGTGTTATGTACATATACCAGCTCCCCACAATGAATGTAATCATTATGTACTGCAAACATGCACTAATAAAAATAAAAATTAAAGCTGAGCATTATGACATGCACCTGTAAGCTGAGGCAGGAGAATTGTCATGAATTTGAGGCCAGCCTGGGCTATCTAGTGAGTTCAAGGCAGCTCAAACTACATGGTGAGACCCTGTCTCTAAAAATATAAATTAAATAAATATTTTTTAAAAAGGTTTACCAGGCCCAGGATGGCAGGTGGGTTTCAGGTAGCTATCCAGTCTGTGCTCTGCAGCTGCTGCCGGGAGCATAGCCTTGAGCAGAGAAGTCTGAGGCTACTCTCAGGTGATGCCCATGGGTGCAGGAGAGGTAGAGTGAATCCCCTCCTGGTTTGCCCAATACTCTTCGGTCCCAACTAGCACTGTAATATTGTGATTTTTCCCTAACCCTGGTTCCCAAGTGGCTCTACATCCTGCTAGATCCTCCCCTTCAGGATGTTTTTCACTCCTGATGAGATAATGTATTATGTAGCAATAGGATGCTAATAAATGTGTGGTCTAATTTGAAATTGTGAACTGCCTCAGCTCTCGTTCACTTGGCATTTAACAGATGTTGCTGGCTTTCTCTTGAAAATTTCAAATATTCCACAGTTCCCTGTGAGTTTGTGGCAATGCCTGTAAGCACTCCATTGCACAGTTTGGAAACTGTGGCTCTAAGTCACAAACCATTGCTAGAGTGTTTTGTTTTTCGTTTTTTTGTTTTTTTAAAAAGGATATTGGGGCTGGGGATTTAGCTCAGCAGTTCGGTGGCCTGCTTCGCAAGCACAAGGACCCGAGTTCAATCCCTGGTACCACAAAAAAAAAAAAAAAATTTTTTTTTAAATTAAAAAAGGATATTAAGCCGGGCATAGTGGTCATGCCTGTAATCCCAGCACTTGGGAGGCTGAGGCAAGAGGATCGCTGTGAGTTCAAGACCAGCCTGGGCTACATAGTGAGTCCCAGGTCAATCTCAATTGCATAGTGAGACCCTGTCTCAAAATAACAAAAAAAAAAAAATTAAATAATAACAGCCAGGGATTTAGCTCAGTGGTGCCATCACCTGCCTCACAAGTACAAGGTTCTGAGTACAATCCCTGATATGGGGGAAAAAAAAAAAAAAAAGGCGTGGCTCTCCCAGGAAAACTGTCAGTTGTAAATTATAGGCACCTAATAACATAGCTTCAAAACATAAAAGCAAAATTGGCAGAATGAGTGAATAACAAAGGTAGACAGCTTCACATTCACATTCATACAGGTTCACGTTCATACATATATCAATAACTGATAAAATTCATATAAAATTCAATACAGATAAATGTAACAAGAAGCCATTGGAAAATTTAACCAGAAGGTCACATGAGCTGATCTATATTTTAAAAACATTACTCTGTCTGCTAGAAGGGGGAAGAGGACATGCTGTAGCCATGCAGGTGGGAAAGTGAGTTTATAAAACCAGGCTCCTATCTATTTATTTGCCTATTTTATCTGTCTGTCTGTCCATCCATCCATTGAGGCAGATCTTGCTATGGAGTCCAGGCTGGCTTCAATTCACAGCAATCCTGTTGCCTCAGCTTCCTGAGTGCTGGGATTACAGTTGTGCGCCACCACGCCCATCTAGCCAGGCTCCTTTTGAGGTTTGCTTTCCTCAACAGCCCTTTTTCCTTCTAGTGCTCCATTCAGCCTGAACTCTAAAAGAAGAGCCCTTTTTGATGGAAGACAATAAACACTGACCAGTCTCCAGCTAGAAATTTTCGGTATGGGAAAACCAGAATTCCTGTAAACCTTGGTCTCTGTAAAGCCAGTTCAGAGAGGCCACCATGACCTTATGCCCCTTTTAGGGCTGGCTATGTTAAAAGATAAAATCAGTACTACTTGGGTGTCTTGCCATAGCTATCAGAATAATAATATGAACATCAACATAAAGCCTTCTGGGCACTTGCATTATGTGCTGAGCATTGTACACAAAGTTATGGCTTCACAACTTGCCTAAAACCAGCCAGTGAGCCAATGGTAGAGACAAGACTAAAACCCATATCTGTTGCCTACAATATATGTGCTGCCTGGCAAGAATTGTATGAGTGAAGAGAATTGAATTGTGTCATTTTTAAGTCAGCATGTCCCAGGTAGTATTTAGTACCTGGTTTGAATGTTAATTGCATTCTTTTATAACTGTGTCCATGGGCACTATACCATTTTAAAGACTTTAAAGGAAACAACATGGGCCTATGGGTTCATAGAAATTGGGTTGAACAAGTCCTTTTACCTGTCTTGTTTTTGTTTTTTGGTTTGGCTTTTTTTCTTTTTTTTTGGTGGGGGGTGTGTGTGCATGTTTGTGTTTTGGGGTATGGGGAATTGAACTCAGAACCTTGCGCTTGTGAGGCAGGCAGCAGCACCGCTGAGCTAAATCCCTGGCCCTGTGTTTTGTTTTTGTTTTGTTTTGTTTTGTTTTGTTTAACTGAAGATTGAACCCAAAGCTTTCTCACTGAGATACATCACCACCCATTTTTAAATTTTTTCCTTTTACTCCGAGACATAGAAGAAACAGGGTCTCCCTAAGTTGCTAAGTTGCCCAGAATGGGCTAGAACATGTGGGCTTCTTGCCTCCGCACCCCCGGGTTCTGGGAGTACAGGCACTGTACCCAGCTTACCTATCTCCATCTTGACTCTTGTCCCATTTAACAAATGAAAAATGTTAAGATTTTCAGAGCGGGGAGAGGCAAGTTCTGTGCCTTAAAAAGATGTCTGTGTGTTGGGTTTCAGTTCCAGTCGCTGTTTTCAGACTCTGACCCCCTAAAACAATGCCAAGAGTAAAGGAAGGAAAAGGTAAATCTAAAGGGGCTCCTCCACCCATCGCTCCAGTTCTTCAACAGTTCCTGAAAACCTATGAGAAGCACTGTGCACACTCCCAGACATCCATGTGTCCAGCCATCAGAAGAGACCTGAAAAGCAGCATTGACAGTGAGCAGAGCCTCAGGAGGGTGAGTGGATGGGCATCTGTCCTTACTCTTCTCAGAACAGGCTGACCTGGCTCACTCCCCAGGAGCACAGGTCCTCAGTCCCCTCACACCCAGTGCTGGCCTTGTCTCTGCCTCCGCATTCCTAACCCAGGGAAGTTCAAAGTTCAAAGCCCCACTCACAGGCACAAAGGGCTCTGCTACGCCATCTCCTACCCTCCTGCTTACACCTCTGGGCGCCTGTCTTTTCCCACACCAGTCATCCAGAGTGGCCAGCCCTCTGATACCCCACATCTGAAAGGCCCAGCTCTGGGGTGACTAGTTCTGTCATCACTGCATCCAGCCACGTGGGCTCTGAACCTCCCAGTGAATGACTTTGCCCTTGACCTCCAGTGTGTCCCCACTCACATCATGAAGCCCACGTTATATGGCACGAGGTCAATAAACACAAAACGTTGCCTCCAAATGTTGAGTTCTGGTTTTCAGAAAAAATACCTTTGTCATCTCTTTTCTGAGATTAAATCTAGGGTTTGAGGATGGAGGGGAAACCAGCTCTGAAACAAAATCAGTTTCTTTGTCCATCCCACCATATTCTTCCTGAATGTGTTTTCAGAGTGGGGAGATGATCTCCTTAACCTTCCGTCTTTCCTCTGAATCCCAACCCAGCCTCCACGGCTTCTTTCTTCCCTTCAAACTCCTCTCACCCTACCTGCCGAGCCCCACCGAGCTCATCTGCTCTTGGGGCCTTTCGGGCCCTGCTTTGCCCTTCCTTCCCAAGGATCCCTGCACACACGTCCCTCACTCATCCCAATGGAGCAGGGATCCAGAGAGCCATTCTTTCTGTGTTAAAATAACCACCAATTAATCATTCTGTTTCAATTCTTGTCATTAGTCTCCACTAATTAAAGATTAATTAGTCCCTTCAGCAACATTTTCCAAACTTTTTTTTTACTACAGTCACCATCGGAAATGCAATAAACATCACAGCCCCTCTGTAAGGACCACTGTGCCTCACTATAACACTTCGACCTGTTCATGTTGGGTGGGTTGCCTGGGGGAGGTCCCCACGACTAGTTTGAATATCATTGGAATAAAAGTCTCATGAGAAAAACTATTATCAGTGCACCACGCCTGACTGGCAAGCGCAAGGTCCTGAGTTCAATCCCTGGTACCAGGAAAAAAAACAAAACAAAACAGATTATTATCCTTGTTCTACAAGATGTACTTAGATAATCTCTCTTCTTTTCTGTTTCACTAAAGAAGAACAAAGAAAAGGCTGTTTGCACCCTCACAAAATTGGCTTTTTTTGATACAATAGCAAGTAGTAACTTTTTGAAGTTTTGCACATGGCAGGAACTCCAGAAGTTGTTAGATTCCCACCCAGCACACATCTGACCCACAGTCAATGACTATTTTAAATGTCCTTCCAATCCTGTCTGCTGATAATGCTCCTTTCCCACATACTCAGAAGCAGAGTTGATGATGCCTACCTGTTGTTTTGTACATTCCAGTTTACACTCATAAGACCTGCCGACTCCCTGCCAGGCCTCCCACCGGTTTCCTTAGAACCTCTGCTCATGACAATCCGAGATGAGCGGTACACCCCGGGGAAGGAGATCTGCATCTGGGGCCTTCAGCTGAGCAATCCAGAAATTGCCAGACTCGTGAGTCACAGTTTAAAGATATTTCTTCAAAGTTTAAAACGGAATGCAATGTGTAGTCCAGTTGTGGTCTATTTGGTTGCTGACTGATACACTGCAAGGCTTTCTTTTCTAACAAATAACTGTATTTTTAATAAAATATTTGAAACATAAAAATGTAAAAATAGGGGCCGGGGATTTAGCTCAGTGGTTCTGCTACCTGCCTCGCAAGCACAAGGACCTGAGTTCAATCCCAGGACCCCCCTCCCAAAAAAAAGCAGAAATAGTAGAACTTAGTAGAACTGACACTCATGCATATAACAAACAGTTGTCAGATATATTTTAAGGAATAAGTTTTCCAGACATTTACATAAATAATAGGTTAAACTTCACTTCTTAAATTTCACTTCTTTCCCCCCATCAACTTCTTGGAGTTACCACTAGCCTAAAGTTGATGTGCACTGTGCACACCCATGTTTACAGCAGAACACTCATAATAGCTAAATGTCCACCAACAGATAAGTGAATAAAGAAACTGTACTATTTGTGCATACTGGAATGCTACCCTGCCCTAAAGAAGGATAAATTTGAGTCACTTGTAGAAAAATGGATGCACCATGAGACCATATTGTTAAGTAAATTAATCAGACACACAAGCTTAAATGTCACATAGCTCCTCTTATATCAGAAACCTAATATAAATTAAAGGGTGAAATAAAAGATGATTGAACATAGTAGGCAGATAGGTCTTTTGTAAATGAGAATGGGATCTAGAGATAGAGGAAGGGAGAAGAGAGGATAGGGAAAGGGAAAATGAAAAGAATTAAGATCTCTTATGTACATGTACCAGGTACCCAGAATGAATGTAATCATTATGTATTGCAGATATGTACTAATAAAAATATTACTGCTGATACATGAAAAAACTAAGTTGACATATATCAAATTTATGTATATTTCATATTTTATTACATACATATGTATTTATTACATATGTATTTACATAAATGAAATTGTGCTGTGTTTTATGACTTTTTTTTTTTTTTTTGGTATGGGGGTGGCGGAACCACTGAGCTAAATCCCCAGCCCTGTGACTGACATTTTTTTTCACATTAGGCTGTCAAGATTTCCCCATGTTCATTGAATCTGACTTTTATCACATCCCGTATTACATATGCCATTATGGATTGCCATTTTTTAAACTTCTGTTGCTGCAAATGACAAGGACTTTATTCACTTCTAGAAGGGCAAATCAGATAATTCAGCCCAACTCTCTCACTAATGACAACAATGAAAAATACACACACGCGCGCACACACACACACACACACACAGAGCAAATGACCTCAAGGAGGATGTGGACGCAGGGAAGAAAATATTACAGGGACTGTTATGCCCAGGGGGCATTTGATTTAAAAGAAGGCAGTGGAGAAACTTGAGAAGCTTCATAGTACTTTGGCCAGTCCTCCCAATGCCAGGAAAAGCTTTGTGAAGAAGCCCTAATAAAACTTCCCTTGCTTTGGGCTGAGACCTTGAAGGACCACAGCCTAGAAATGAAGCTGAGCCACATGCAGACAAGTGCTTGAGGGACTATAGATCACTTTCAGTCACCTCAAATTCTGAAATTGGATTAGATTTCTGGTACCCTCATGGGTCCAGAAGCAAATGATAATACTCCCTGGAAGACAATTGCAATATTTTAGGCCTCAAATTATGCCTATAAACAGTTTTGTAAAAACTAGAAATCCATATATCTATACTATGTGAGGAGGCAAGATAGCCTGAACACAAACCATACACTGTAGAAGCGGTGCACTAAATAAATAGCCCACAAGGAGGAGTCAGATGTTTGAGTTATCACACATGTGCTTTTAAAGATCTATGCTTACATAGAGTATTCAAAGAAATATAAGCCCAGTATCAAATTTTAAGGAAAAAAATCCCTAGAAACTAAACAAATAACTAAATGGACATTCTAGAACTGAAAAATTCAGTATAGCAATTGAATCTAAAATCTCAGTAAAGGGGATGTAACAGCATTTTAGACAGAGTTAGAGAGATAATTAAAGAAGTCGGAAGACAGTGTCTGAAGTGACGCATGAAATAACAAAATGAAAAATTCAGCTGGTGGGGCTGCACACCTGTCATCCCAGCTCCTTGGGAGGTTGAGGCAGAAAATCTCAAATTCAAGGCCAGTGTAGGCTACTTATCAAGACCCTGTCTCAAAATAAAGATTTTTGAAAGAGCTGGAGATATAACTCAGTACTCCTTGAATTCAATCTTCAGGAGAAGAAAGAGAGAGGGGATGAAGGAGGGAGAGGAAGGGAAAGAGAAGCAGGGCATTCAGAAGAGAAGCGAAGAGACACAGGAAAGTGAGGTGACCTGGTGTCCCTGGAGTCCCGGAGGAGGAGAGTGAGAGTGTGATATAATCAATACTTGACAAAAGACTCTCTCGGAGCTTTCAGACTGGCAGAGATGTACATCACAGATTTGAGTAGAGCTATCAATCTCAAACAAGGGAAATACAAAGAAAACTTAAAAACGTCATAGCAAACTACTGAAAACCAAAGATAAAGAGAAAAGTTTTTAATTGGTTAATAAAAAAACAAACAGTAGAGACAGTCCCTGACTTGGTTCAACTTATAACTTTTTTACTTCATGATGGCCAAACTATTCAACGCTTTATTGTAACTAGGCTGTGTGTTAGACGTCTAGGTTTCGTCTAGGTATAGGCTAATAATGTTAGTGTTCTGAGTATGTTTAAGGGAGGCTGAGCTAAACTGATGTTCAGTAGGTGAGGCATACTAAATGTATTTTGACTGACAGTAAAGAGGTTCATCAGGACCTAACCCCATCCTAAGTCAAGGAATATCTCCACCTTCAAAAAAGCAGCAATAAGACTGGTGTGTCTGACTTTTCAATAAAATCATGGAAGGCAGCCACAGTATAATATTTTCATAGTGCCAACTAACAGCTCTATACCTCAAAAATTCTTTTTCAAAGATGAAAGTAACATAAAGAATTTATCAGACCAACAGAAACTGAGAAAATTTGCTAACAACATGTCTTACCTGAAGGAAATACATATTGTTCAGGCAGAAAAATGATCCCTTAAAAGCAGCAAGGATCAAGGAACCACAAATATGATTTTCCTATAGGAAGTGTACATTGTATGTGCAGATGTAAATGTCCAAGAATAAGCAAGACAACCTTGAACAGGAAGAACATGGCAGGATAATCTACTCTAACAGATATCAAAGCTTATATTAATGCTACAGAAATTACAATGGTATAATGTTGGTGTAAGTATAGATCTATAAATCAGTGTAAAAGAACAGAAAGCCTACAAACAGACCATACCATATGGTTATTTAATTATTTTGTTTTGTTTTTTTGAGACAGGGTCTTGCTATGTAGTCCAGGCTGGCCTTGACTTTGTAGCAATCCCAAGTGCTGTGATTACAGGCTTGCTCCACTAGGCCTGGCAAAAAAGGCTTCTTAAACACAGTTCAGAAAGCACTAGTCATAAAATAAAAGATTGCTACATTGGATTTCATTAAATTAACAACTTCTGTTCATTAAGAATGACTACTGAAAAAAAGACAAGCTACAGAATGAAAAAGTCTCATGTGGCATATATAGTCAAAAGGGTTCCTGTGAAGGATATACACGTACTGGTAACTCCCGTACATCGTTAAGAAATAGCATTAAAAAGAAAGAAATAGGATCAAATGGGACTTCTGGAAAGGTGGTGGAGCAGTAAACAGCAACAAATAAGCCTCTCCAAGGTTTGGAATCCAGACACTGGAAAATAACAACTTGGGAAAGGAAAGAAGGAGGGAAGGAAATCCCTGAGACCCAGGAAGGAGCTGAAGTGGAAATTGGAGCCTACAGAGAAATTGAAGACAAAGGCCTCTGCAGAAAAAGGAAGGAGCACTCTGCTCCCTGGCTCTGGGCTCATGACAAGAGAAAGGAAGATCAAAACTACAGAGACACAGTGAAAGCAGGAAACTCTAGAGACCTTCAGGGAGAAATGTACCAGTGGAATGGAACAGTGGGTGCTGTGTGCTACAACAGCTGGTGAGTGACTCTAGCCCAAGCCCCTGTCTTATCCCCTGGGGAGAGTGGCTAGTCAGACACCATTTTAGTGAGGGGCCAACTGAACCTGAGACTCAGAGCAGCCTCGAGTTGGCTTCATCTCAGGGATGCCAGTGTTGAACTCCCACAGTGACTGGGTGAGGGACAACTAAGGAGACATTAATGGTCAGGGAGCAGGTCAGGCTGGCAAGCGCTCAGCCCCCGCCATGGCTTTTAAAGTTCCAGAAGTGGCACCCTAATCCTACTGCTGCCTTGTTGGGGTTATCCAGTGAGAGCAGAGTCATGCCTCACATTGGACACTACCACAGAACAGTGGACCATAGAAGATAATCACAGGCTTGAAAGCACAGACAAATTTTTCTTTTTGTTCTTTCTTAGCTTTTGTTTCTTTATTGTTACATTGTTGTTCATTTTTTATTGCTTGTTTTTGTCTTCTTTCTGAGTGTGAATGTTGTAGTTTTTTTGTTTTGTTCTTATTTTTGTTTTCTTCTTTCCTTCTCTCTTGTCTTCCTCGCCAGTTTCCTGAGCCTTGGATAATCTTTTGTCCCTCAGCCTTGCTTCTTCTAATCTCTTTTTTCTTTCATTTCTCTATTTTTTCCCTCCTCCCCTTTTAAAATTTCTCCCCTTTGGGTAAAATCGCTCTACAGTGAGGATGCTTACTGTACACAATTTTCTGATTTGTCTTACATTCTGTTATATAACTATAAATCTTGTACCTAGGGTTAAAGGTAGCAAATTATTTTTTTTTAATTTTAAATTGAATTTATTGGTACATTCTAGGTAGACAGTACAGTTACATTCATTACTGGGATCTTGTACCTTTACATGCCAGGTCTTGGTTTTCATTTTTTCACCTTGTCCCCATCCTCCCTTCACCCCCTCCTCCCCTCCCTACCTTCAAACACTTTAATTCCATTTTTACATTT